AGGGGACAGCACAAGGGACAGCCCTGCCCTGGCCAGGAGACAGCACAGGGTGGCACAGGGGACAGCCAGGGTGGCACAGGGGACAGCACAGGATGGCACAGGGTGGCACAGGGGACAGCCCTGCCCAAGGGGACAGCGCAGGGTCCCCTTCACGGGGCCAGCCCCGGCGCAGAGCAGAGCAGAGCAGAGCAGAGGGCTGAGCGCTCAGGACGGCTGCGGTGGGCGCGTGGGCTGTGCAAGGCTGTGGACACTTGCTTTATTTTCAAACAGGTACGGAAATGAAATCAGGAGCTGGTATTCAAGCAGGTATGGAAATCATGAGCTGACGGTGAATGTGGATTGTCCCCAGCCATCCCCACACCTGAGGGCCCGGCGTCCTCCTCCTGGCCCGGCAGCTTTCCACAGGGCAGGCAGGGCAGGAAGGGGTGCAGGGAAGCTGCAGGGCAGTGACTGGGCAGGACTGGGAAGCTGGAGTGGTGCGGTCCCCCCTGTGCCACTGATCCACTCTGGAAACCAGCACTTTCTTAGCCCCAGCTCCCCAGTCACTGACAGGGGGATGCTGTTACTCAGCCATGTTTAAAATGGTGCAGAAATCCCACAGAGTGCTACTTTGGGATAAAAAGAAAGAGGGAAAAGTACATGTTTCCAGGGTCATTTGCAGATATCAGTTTGGTTCAGCATAGTGGGAGAGTGATGGCCATCATCACTCACCAGAGCAGGTTTGGATGGATCTTGGGGCAGATCTGTGGGATATGCTGCCCTTGTGGTTCCTCATCCTGTGTCTCAGAGCAGGATTCCTGGGGGAGCAACAATCTGCCTCTCCCTCAGCTCACCCATCCCTACAGGACACTTCACCATCCCCACCATTCTGTCACTGCCCCTTTGCAGTCACCTTTATCCCAGCCCAAGCAACCCTGGACATTTTCCCCACTCCATTCCCTGCATTGTTCTTCATCATCTTCATCCCCATCACCACCTGCTTCTCTCTGAGCTCTGCCCTGCAGATCCCATTCCCCAAAGCTGAGAGCCAGCCAGCCCTTCCAGGGTCTCCAGGCTCCTTTCTCTCCAGCCCCTTGCTCCAAATTCCTCTGGGAAGGCCAAAAAAATCCCATGAGGAACTACCACTGTTGGCAGGAGCACTGCCTAGCAGGCAGCCTCAGAAAATCCTGGTTTCTTCATGCCATGGCTCAGCTGCTGGGTTGGAGGATGCTGATTTTAGGGTGAGCTTCTTGGGGCAGCTGGACCCAGCTGCAGCACCCTCTGTGTTCCCAGAGCTCCAGCAGAGAACTGAGGGGATTTGCCTTTTCACCACCTGGGCGCTCTCAGAGGTTTGGTGATGGATTGGTTCAGTGCCACGTGAGTCATGTCACCATGAGTGACATATGACACATCAAGGGACCTGCAGGCCCAAGCAGGAGATCCACGAGCAAGCCACAAAGTGAGAAACATCAGTTCTCTTTTGATCAAGTGTGAGCAGAGCCTAAACCAAATCAGCACCACACGTTTATCACCCTGCAGTTCCCAAATTAGGGCTCAGGACCCATGAGCTCCACAGCCATGGCTCAGGGGTACCATGAAGTGGCTTTAGAGCTCCTCTGTCCCACTTGGGATAGGGTAACGAGGAAGACACCCTTTGCTGACTACACAGTGGATGCTGCTGGAATGACAACTGCCCCCAGTGCCACCAGCAGGAGTGTGTCCCCCTGGAAGGGTGAAAGGCACAGCTGGAGCCTGTGGCCTCAGGTCCAGGATGAAATTATGCCCAGTGGGCAATGGGAAATGGTTCCTGTATCACTCAGTCAAGTGACAATCCCTGGGCTTTGCTTCTCAGCTGGGTCACCCCTGTGTCCCCAGGGTCCAGCAGCATTCCTGTCCCCATCTGCACAGACCTCTGAGAACCACCTCTCTGCATACATTTTCCCATAAATTCATCCCATCCATTTCCAAGGCAAGGCCTCCAAGGAGAAAACACCTTCCAAAGAGGTGTCCAGGAAAGTTGTGAGGACACACTCACCCACCTTATCTGGTCATCCTAGACAGGGTTATCCTTCTTTTGGTTCACAACATCCTAGAGAGTGTTTAGAAATAGAAGGAATGGGGACCTAGAGATACCTGCAGCTTTAGGGGAGAGGGTCTTCAGGATGCAGCTTTATCGTCCCAGCCAAGGAAGGCAGTTTGTGGTGCCTTCACAGCTGTGGTGTCCTGCAGTGTGAGTGCTGCCCCTCCTGAATCCAACCCAACACTCACTGTAAAGTTGGAGCTGTGCCTGGAGGAACTAGAGAGACAGAACAGGGAGATAAAAAGGCTTTGGGGCTCCAAATCTGACCCTCTCACCATAAATGTGTTTTCCCATTCCACCCTCCCCACACCTCACAAGCTGCTGCCAGGGCCTCCTTACATAAATCAGCTTTGCTGGCTGAGCCACAGCCCAAAATCCCCACCAGGAACTTGGTGACAGAGTCCTTGCAGGCAGAAGGATGTGAGGGTGCATCCCCTGCTCTGCCTCCCACACATCCCACCCCACAGTGCTCAGGCCCAGCATGGGCCATCCCTCCTGTCCCAGTCTTTGTAGCACCCTCAGGAATTTTGGAAGGATGACAGCTGATAAGCCACAGGAGAAGGCAGGAAATTGGGATATAAAATAGGGAGGGGCTGTGAGTGATGACTGGGGTTAAGTCATCCATCAGCCTGCTCGGATGCCATTTCTCTTTCTTAATAATATTAACACACAGTCTTCTTTTGCACTTCATCCTTTAGAGAAGCTCATTCATTAACCCGCAGGGCACTAACAAGAGCAGCTGCTAATCCGCTCCTCTGGCTCCCCCCACCTGTCCTCCCAGGGTAAACTGAGGCACAGAACGAGCAGGGTTGTACAAACAGCAGCATCCCGCGGGCAGCCCGTGCCGACATCACCGCACACGGATGGGGGAGCAGGGAAGGAGCCCCAGAACCCTCCCCAGGCTCATCCCTGAGCCTCTTCCAGTAGCCAGGGGTGGGTCCCTGGGGGAAAAGGCCCCTCTGTGACCTTCAGGACACTTCATGCTCCCTCTCCTTGCTCCTGCAGAGTCGGTGCCGATGGCGGTGATCATCGGAGTGGCCGTGGGGGCCGGCGTGGCGTTCCTGGTGCTGATGGCCACCATCGTCGCCTTCTGCTGCGCCCGCTCCCAGAGGAGTAAGTGTCACCCCCACCACGCTGCACCCCCCTGGGAGGGCTGGGGGAGAACTCAGGAGAGAGAGGAGAAATTGAATTTGAATTAAAATTGGAATTGAAATAGAATTTGAACTGAATTTGCCGGCACAATTTACTGAATTTGCTTCTCCGCACAAGCCACTTCTCCTGTTGGTCTACCGAGTGTCTGCTGGAAATGGCAGTGGGAAAAGGGAAGGGCTTATGGAAAACATGCCAGGGTAACTGTGGTCCCTGTTAGCAGCACAGGCAGCTCAGGAGGTGTGCAGGGGACCTCTTAACCTCTCCCTTGGAGAAATCCTGAGGTGCAAGAGAGAGAAGCATCCTCAGTGCGCCACATGGGTGCTTAAAAACCCTCCACAGTTCTGCTGCTGTTTTAATTCCAATTCTCCTGACATGCATATTCCTAGCAGGAATGACAGACAGCAGAGGGGTTTTTCATGGGACTTGTGCATTTCAGAGTCTGGCTGCAGTGGAAATACAACTTAAAGTGACATTAGAGACACAGGTAGAGGAGGAGGAGGGGGAAGCAGCACGGCATTGTCTGGCCTCATTAAAAAGACACCGGGAAATTAAAGGAGGATTGTTGGCTTCATGAAAAGGCACCAAAGCAGGAGGGAGAAGAGTGTGATTGTCTAGAGCATTCCAAGCCTCTGGGGAGAGGAGGAGATCCTTGGCGCTGCTCCCGGCTCGCGAGACGCGTGGTACGGATTCCAGGATGCCAAACTCTCCATGTGTGAGCCAGAAAACCCAGTTGTTGTCCTTTTATTTTTTTTTTTTCCCCCTCAATGGTTTACAAAGCCATCAAAGACACCCGGCAGCTCCTGGATTCAGTAAGGACACACAGCCCCCCACTGCAGAAATGTGTTTAATTTTCAGCGTGTTAATGATGCTTCTCCCTGTTTTATCCCTTTTTTTTTGAACTCTCACAGCTTCCATTAGCAAGAATTAATGAACTAAATAGGGAAAGTAATTAATCTTGCTTTTTGGGGAAGAATTGCTGATGGACAGCACCCAAGACCAGGCCAGTTTGATGTCGTGGAGGTCATTTGGCAGCAAGAGACAATGCAAGAACCTGAAGGAAGCAGGGCCAAGCCGTGTTCCCATGTCCATGGGCTGTTTTTCCCCCTGCCACATCCTTCAGAGAAACAGGGAGCGTGTGGTTCATTATTTCCCTCTCGTTAGATGGAACCAGATGGTGCAGGGCTCTTTACAGGACCCACGACTTCACAGGAATGCCATGACAACAGATTCCAGACATGGTGAAAACGCCAGGATTTAGACCCTCACAAGCTGGAGGCAATGTAAGGATGGGCTGCTCTTCAAGGGGAAAGCCAAGAGGGGACAAGGCCATCCCAGCCAAATGCCTTGTGTTATTTATCCCATTGCTAAATCAGGAAGAAGAGGCATTTTCCTCACCAGGGCTGGGAAGACAGGTTCTGGAAGGAAGGCACTGGGGACATGGTGGCAGGGTTTGAAGTCCCTTTTCTCCGCTGGGTTTTTGGTGTTATCCCATTTAGAAAAGGTTTTTGGGTCTCCAACACACCAGAGGAGTGTTCCCTGCCCTGCTGCTGGAAGTGTGATTCCCTGGGGAGAGGTCAGCAGCATCCCCAGGCCAGGGCAGGGGTCCCTGTGCTCCCTACAAGGCTTTGCCACTTCACTTTGGGATCAGAATAAGTAAGAGCTCAACCAAGAGATCAGTGAAGATCCCTGCCCTGATCTCCCTTCCCTCCCCAAAACCCTGTGGGAAGGGAAGGGTCAGACTCAGCTGGGGACAGCAGCAAATCCTGAGTGCAGATAGGATTCCACAGCCTGAGATTCATGCATGGGGCGCTGGTGGCACCCAGTTCCTCTTTACCTGCCTCCAAAAGCTACTGGAAACAACCAAAACAGCCTCTCCTTGGGTTTGGGGGGAACTGGGAGCATCAGCAGCTGAACCAGACCCCAGTGACACTCAGGGTGCAGAACCCTGCAGGGAAGGACTTGGATGTGCCAGGTGGATGGGCTTTTACCCCAGTTTTGAAGTGCTGATGCCAGCTGAATGCTGTGACCACTGTCTCTGGTGGCAGGAGGGTGGGAACACCAGGCTGAAAGGTGAGGAAAGGAATTTCATCACTGATAGCTGTGTGTGATGTGTGGAGTTATTGCAGAGATCAGCTCAGGAATGATGGGATTGACAGAGCACTTGGATAGCAGGAGAAGGACTCATTTCCTGCCAGGATGACTGCAGATTCCTCTCCCAAGACAAATACCAGTGTTGTGCCATCATTTATAACAACCTGGTGCAGGCTGCAGGAACAGTTGTGTTGAGGGGACACGGTGACCCAGCAGTAACTCTGGAGAAGGAATCTCCTGACCCAGCCACTGACCACAGCTAACAGCAATGGGGGAGGCAATTCCTGACCATGTTTTGGGAAAAAAAAGAAAAAAAAAAAAAAAAAAAGGACCAGGTGCAGACACACCAAGCCTGGAGACTCTGGAAAAGAAAAAAATTTACTGCACATCTGTTGTTGTATCTTCAGTGACTTAACAGCCCAGAGTTATTTGAGGGGGAACACTCCTGGGAGAGAAGCTGCAAGACACTGATTAGCGTCTCCTTGTGATTAAAGACAGAGGCTCCAGCACCAGGAACGTGGTCCCAGCAGGACAACATTAAAAAAAATAAGCTGTAGCAACTTCCCAGTGAAAGGCTTTGCCTTGTGCCCTGAGACTTGGCGAGGTCTGGGGGCTGTGGAGGACAGGGGATGCTCGGAGAGATGAATTCAAGGACAGAGCTTGGAGCTGGTGTGGGTTACATCATTCTGTTCGGTTTAGAGATAAAACTCCCGGGGGGTCCAGCCTTTTCTGGACTGATCCCCGCAATCCTGGCTTGGCAGGGCGCTGCTGGATCCGTCAGCTGGAGGCAGATCTGACAAAGCGGTGGTTCGAGGCAGTTTTTGGGTCTGGGGGGGCTAACACAGCCATCCCGGGAGTCGAGAGCCAGGTCCGTGGCTGGGGGCCGGCTTCAAAGCTGTTGAGGTCTCGCTGCTCAGATTTGCCTCCATCTCTGCTTTTCATCTCGGCTTCGCGCCGCCGTTCCGCTCCCGCTGCTCCGCGGCTGAGGTTTAGTTCTGCGAAAATGGCTTGTTCAAAGCACGCCTGACACCTTCAGGGAAGGCAGGGAGTCAGTGTTCCTCTCTTCTCTCCTCATTTCCAGGCTGCTTGGAGATGATAAAACTGTCCCTGGCCACGTCTGTGCTCCTTGCTTGGCCTTTCCCATGTGTTGTCTGCACCCCAGACTGCGGGAGGTTTTTCTCAGGGGTTCCCAGAGCCTGGCCAGAGCTGGTCCATCCCTCAGGAGCAGTATTTCCTATGGATCAGCAGGCTGCACAACGATTTCACTCTGTGCGGGCAGTTCTGCTACAGCCCAGCCCCTGGTAACAGCACCGTGAGTGTGGCAGAGGCCAACCGAGCTCCACAGGGAATTCCTGCAGGAGTCTGAGCCGTCCATACCTCTGGCAACGCAAATATTGCTCCTCCAGCTCTCCGATGGGCTTGCAGAGCCGCCGGGAATCCTCGGTCGTGTCCCTGCAGAAGCTCCGCCACCGTTTCGGAGTAACGCCCTCGTCCATCTCCCTCTTTTCCCAGATCTCAAGGGTGTGGTTTCTGCCAAGAACGACATCCGCGTGGAGATCGTGCACAAGGAGCCGGCCGCGGGCAGGGAGGCGGAGGAGCACCCGACCATCAAGCAGCTGATGGTGAGAATTCCTTCCCTTCCCTAAGCGATTGCTCCGGGCCAAGTTTGATGCTTACAAGCCCGGACACGTGTCGCTCAGCCCCGAAATAACCACTCAAGGCAAAGACACTCTTCCAGAAATGCTGCTCTCGAGATCCGCATTCTCTTGCCATAAAAACCTCCTCGAGTGAAACTTGGCTAATGAGGAGGGAGAGCTGCTAGGGGTTTATTGCAGTGGCCCATCTGCCCGCCGGGCTAATTGCAAAGCAAATTTGCCACCTCACACCTGGAAAGCTGCGGAGGGCAGGGAGAGACACAAGGGGGGAGCACGAGGTGATAACGAGCTCATCACCCAGCGAGATTGTGCGGGCAGCACCAGGGCTGTGCCCAGGGCTGGATACCCACCTGCGCCTGGCTCTGTAACACCGGGGAGCTGTCACCTTCCCCAGGCCACCGCCTTCACCCAGGGGACCGACGGACACGGGCAGGCCAAGAGGTGCGTGGCTGAGGGGCAGCAAACGCAGCTTGTGCCCCGGTGCTGCTGCATCCTCGCCAGCAGCCCCTCTGTGTGCTGTGGTCACTCTTCTCTGTGGCTCAGCCCCAGTGTGCCTTGGCTTTCACTTGCTGGCGACAAAGAGAAGCTGAAAAATGGCAAAGAGTCCTGGAAAAAAAAAAAAAAAGAGAGAGATAAAAGAGCAGATGGGGAAGGGGGAAGGGATTGAAGAAGCCACTGGCTGCTTTCTAGGCTGTTGGGTGTTTTTTTCCTCCTCTAAAGCTCAATTTTTTTGGGCAGCACTTGTATGTCCTGCCTGCAAAAGCTGTTGCATGAATGCCTGATGGGAAGGCAAGGCTGATCATCGTAGAGTGGGTGGAATTGCTTGCTGAAATTGTCAGGATTGCCAGAGCATTTAGGCAGCCAGGGAGCCTCCAAACAATGAGGCAGGAGGAGGTGGAGATCTGGCAACTTATCCCAGCACCACTGAGGTTCCTGTGCAAGACCCCTCGTTCCCAGTAGGGCTTTGCCCTGAGAAATCTGCAAGTCTGTGGTGGGATTTGCAAGGCTGGAAGGGCAGAGGAAGCTGGGGTTGGGTTTGGAGCAATCTGCTGGGATGAAGGGAAAGGAGAAGCTTTCTCTCCATGGGACCTTGTACCTCATCTGTGTGATCAACAGTGCCAAGCCCAGATCTGGCTCCCACAGGGGCATCTGGGATCATCCCAAATCCCACTCCAGGCCAGGGTGGAAGCACACATGAAGCCTCAGTTACCACTCTGAGTGAACAAGGAAGAGGATGGTGGTGAGAGGTCAAGCACACAATCTTGGAATCCATCCTTTCTTAGGTTATTTGCAGGAGCCAGGGGGTGATTTCACGTCAGCTTGTGCCTTGGTGAGGCTGGGAGTGGAGCTGTGCCGGGCACACTGCAATGAGGATTCTGGCAAGGTGGAAACAGTGCAGAAAAAAAATGACAATATTTGTTTGAGAGCTGGGAAATAATGCCTTACAGGGAGAGGTTGTGGAGCTCCTGGGTTTATCAGCCAGACTGGTGAGAGGTGGTTTGGTCACGGCACACTGGAACTGTTTAAAGCCGAGCACTTTGGGTGTGACACAACAGACTCACAGCCTGGCTGGACTGGAAGAGGGCAATTCTTCCCCCTTCCTGGCCAAATCCAGGCATTTTTTCCCAAAAATACAGCATCTGGAAATTACATCCTTGGATCAGCATCGTTCGGGAGCTGGAAGAGATGGTCTGTGATCTCTGACCCTGATGTTGGCAGAGTTTGGGACAGCTGGGACATCCCACCTGCAGGGAGAAGGCATCAAAGCCCCCTCCCTTGCCTGGATCAAAGCCTCCCCTCCCTCATCTGCCCTCAGCAAGCACGTTCCCAGGAAACAGTCCCCAGTTCCTTCTCTCCTCAGAGTCTGCAGAGACCCCCTCTGTCCTTCATCCACATCTTTGCTGTGTCCAGCAGTTGGTTGGATCCTCCTCTGGCCATCAGACACCCAGCCTTGGCTGCCAAACAGATTCCTGATAAAATGTCCCAACTCTGTCAATGAAATGAAGGATCGAGTTAAAAACTCCTTGCTGATGAGGAGCAATGAGGCCTCTTTAGCAGGAGGAGGAGGAGGGCAGTGCCCAGCACCTCCCTCCCTCCACCCCAAAACATTGCAACTCTCCCTTCTCCCAGCGCCAGCATTATTCCCTCTGCTTCCCCATTTGCCTTCTCCGAGCATCCTGTGAGATCTCCATCCCTTGAGATGATCTCCATCCCTTGAGATAATCTCCATCCCTTGAGATGATGATCTCCATCCCTTGAGATGATCTCCATCCCTTGAGATGGTCTCCAACCCTTGAGATGGTCTCCATCCCTTGAGATGATCTCCATCCCTTGAGATGATGATCTCCATCCCTTGAGATGATGATCTCCATCCCTTGAGATGATCTCCAACCCTTGAGATGATCTCCAACCCTTGAGATGATCTCCAACCCTTGAGATGGTCTCCATCCCTTGAGATGATGATCTCCATCCCTTGAGATGATCTCCAACCCTTGAGATGATCTCCTCGCCCTCACCAGCGTTTTGCAGTCTAACAGCGGCTGTGAGTGCCACTGCCAGGCCGGGGGCTCGGGGTCATTAACGGGGATGTTAACGAGGAGCAGCCGCGCTGACAAGCAGCTCTCCATCCTCACCCCATCCCGGCCTCTCGGCCGAGCCCCGGACTCCAGCACAGCCTGAGCTGCTCCTGCTGAATTTCAGGCTCCTCAGCACCGTGGCTGTGCCTTGGCTCTCGGTTTCCCACCTGCCCCAGTCGTGCCAGCGCGACTCTGTCCCCCCAGACGCTGTTTTGTCATTCTCCAGCCATCTGTGACCTCGGCAGCTCACCGTGCTTTTCACAAGTAATTATTCATGCATCTATAAATTCATTAACACCTTAGGATACGCGTCACGCTGCTTGATTTGCATATGTTCACATTGCCTCAGCGGCGTTCCCACCCCCTGCTCCGAGAGCTGCTCTGCCAGGCAGCACCTACGGGCAGGGAAAAGGCTGCCAGCTCGAGGGGCCGGAGGCAAAAGAGCCTGATGAAGGGCTTGATCCGGGGGAAAATAAACCACAACAGCCGCATGAGCCCGGGCTGTGAGGAGGGGGATGAAGAGATCAGCTCCGGCGTGGCACAGCTCCTCCCTCGCCATGGCTGGGTTTGTTCCTGGCTGAACGCACCCCGTGCCTCGCCACCTGTGAAACGGGGCTGATAATCCCGAAGGAGCCGTCCCCACTGCCATGAACAGTCAGAGACGATCCCAAAGTGTCAGGCAGGCAGGGGCATCCCAGAGATCGCCACCTCTGGATCGTTCATCCCTTCCGGATCGTTCATGCCCCACTGTGGCCAGGCAGATCTAGGCATCGCCTGTGGTTCATATTTGGAGTGGGACAGTTAAAATAATCAATCCAGTGATAGGTTTTTATTTTCCTGTCCCCTTAAAGCCGTTCCTCTGCTCCGAGGGCTGTTTCTAGTTTGTTCACAGCCTTCACAGGTGATCAGCACCAGACACCTTTCCCAGACAGGCGCTCAGCTCAGACCCCTGTGGAAGAGGAAAAATCAAAGCAGCAGAATTTCCATTCTGGGCGAGGCTCATTCCTACGCTCAGCCCAGTGGACACAGCATCCCTTTCTCTGCCTTCCCCCCGTGCCCGGGGGCTGGGACGTGTTCCCTGTGCCCAGCGGCCACTGGCACCGCCACCCTGGGAAGCAGCGGCAGCCCTGAGCTGTCAGAGCCGGGTCTGCGTCTCCACAGCATCCAGCCTCGCCGGGAGGCTCGGGGAACATCCCTCCCTCCCAGCCGGCTCCTTCCAGCCGCACCAGCCCGTCCCAAAGCAGGATTTTGGGGAGAGGTGGGACAAGGCAGCTTCTCCTGCGGTGGGCAGCCACACTCAGCCAGCGGGTAGGCGACCGAGGCCAGAGCCGCTGTTTGAAGGTGATGAGGCTTCACCGAGCTGGGGATTCCCAGAGGGGTTCTTTATTCATGGCTCGTTCCCTCCCTGGGAGCAAAGGAAGTCGCTGTTGGAGAATCGTCACCAACATCCCTCACCCTGGTAGCGTCTGGCCCGCACCAGCGCTGCCGGGTGCATCCAATCACCCAAGCAGCCGGGAATATTGTAATTAAACCCGGAGCGAGGCGGGGGAGCACTTCGAGCCCGCCGGGTCTGGAGGATACTCAAGCACCTGAAGCAGCATTTTAAAAAAAGATATTGTGTCCACTAATGAAAGCCAAGAATTTAATATCCTGTCGGATTCTCCATCTCGGAGGCTTCGTTTGGTGGCGTGAAAGGCGGGAGAGCTCCGCACTGGCGGGGCGGAGCGGGAGGCACTGCCCGCTGGTCCAGCCGCTGTCCCGGGCGCGGGGGTCCCTCCTCGGCAGGAGCCGCTCCCGGGGCGGGGAGAGCAGCACAGCCGGCCTGAGGTGATGCTTCAGCAGCTGGAGGGGGTCCCCGCCTTTTGCGGCGGGGGAAACCGAGGCAGTGGCGCTCAGGGATGCAGGGCTGCAGTTTTTTGGTGACATCCCTCAGCCACGCTGACCCAGGAGGCGCCGGCGAGGTTTGGACACGGGCAGGACTTTGCACCCCACCTGCTCCGGGCGTGGGGAAGGCTGCTGGCGCCTGGCAGTGCCAGCAGGATGGAGTGCTGGCATGAGGTTGCCAGGATGGGAAGGGCGCTGGCAGCAGGGAATGGTGGCTCTGACAGGAGGTGTATCCCCAGCCGTCTGCACCGCGAGCACATTGGTGATGTCACCTGGCTCTGGAAAAATGTCCAGGAATGACACGGGGCATCCCACGCCAGGGCACTCAGACACCTCTGCTCTCATTTTCCATCTATTTCCCTCTTCCCCTTCATAATCCCTGTTAATATTCGTGATGGAGTGAACTTGACCGGTGTTTGCTCAGCGATGACAAAGCGGAAATCACACTAACGAGGATCCCACTGCCCACTAATTAGTGGTGTAAAACTTTAATGAAGTTGACGCCAGTGACCGGCTGTAATGGGGGTTTGGAGGTTCACTGATGTGATGGTGCGTTGTGGACCTCATGTGGAGACTCCCTGCAGTCCCCAAATCCACGGGGTGCAGCCGAATTCGGAGCGTCGGGGACAGGCAGGGACCCCGCGGAGCTCAGGGAGCATCCCAGTACCTGGATCACTCCCACCATCACTTCAATGGCTTAAATAAAATAAATGGCTTCAATAAAGTGGCTTCAAACACCCCACCAAACATGACATGAATTCCAGGGAGGTTTGGTCACAGTGGGATTGTTCCCTTGGTTCCCACCTCCCTTCTCCCCTCTCCATCTCTGGGGTCCGGCCCTGCAAGTGGTTTTTCGTTTTCATTCCGAGCTGGGACCTGTTAAACCCTTCCGATAGGGTTAACAGCCTTTGCAGAGATGCTTTAGAGGATCGAGAGGGTCGCCGGGGCTGGCAGAGCAAAAAAACTCTCCACGTCCCATTTTAGCTGCACTCGTTTAATCCTCGGCGACACTTGTATTTATCCTGGTAAATCAATGGCTGATACAGGCTTTCTTTTCCCTAGGAAAACTCAGGTACTTTAATTTATTGCCTTTAACAGCCACATCAAAGGCTTTCGGGAGATGAACAGCAAGTGCCGCGGGGTGAATTTCCACAGCCACTTACCATCTTAAAGAGGAAATTTGGGCAATGAAAGGGGATTTTGGGGCTGGCGTGGGGCTGTGATGCCAGGGAAGAAGGGCTGGAGGCGTCCGGTGAATACGGGAGAAGCTAAAAAAAGGCAACTGAGAAATTGGTTGATAATTATCCTGCTTCCTGCACAGCCCCGCGTGCTGAAGGAAGGGTAATTAAAGCTGTGGTGTAATTAACGTGCACCTTGCCCCTCCTCTCCGCCTCCCCCCGATCACAGCCAGCCTTCAAAGGAAAATTAATGAGGCGGCCAAGTTCAGCTGAGGAGGAAAGGATGAAAAGAAGGGAAACAAAAACCAAAAAAACCAACAAAAACACAAACAAGGCGATTTTGGGGGTGTTGCTTTGGGCAGGCGGGTGCAGCCCCAACCCTTACCTCGGTAAATAATTCGTTTTCTGCATCAGCCTGCTTTTTTCTGTCCTGAACGGGGAAAAACAATGTGTAACCCAGGGAATTGTGTGGCTTTGGGGCGTCCGCCCTCGGACGCTGCTGGGACACCCCTGGGGAAGCCTTGAATCCAGCTGGTGGCAACTCCCCAGTGCCCTGGGGCTGCTGGTGGATGTGGGGCTCGGCCCACATGGCCTGGGGGCGATGAGAACCCGGGGTCAGGCGCTGCTGGGATGCTGACCCCTGCCTGTGTCCCTCCCTAGATGGACCGGGGGGAGTTCCAGCAGGATTCGGTGCTGAAGCAGCTCGAGGTGCTCAAGGAGGAGGAGAAGGAGTTTCAAAACCTGAAGGTGAGTGGGATCCTGGGCTGTCTCTGTCCCCAGTGAAGAGATGGGGTCAGAGCCCCCCGTCACTCCTGGCTGCACCCCTGTGCTGGGAACCCCTCCCTGGGCAGAACCAGCTCGTGCCTCACCCAGCCCTGCTGCTGCCAGGCCATGTCCTCGGGCCATGTCCCCAGTGCTGGCCTGTCCCAGAGGGCTGTCCCTGTGCAGGGAGAGAGGCTCTGGCATGCTGGCACTGTCTTGTGGCCCCAGCACCTTTTAGGTGCTGTGGTGCCAGGACAGTGGTGGGCAAGGGGCCCTTGTGTCCCGGCCTGGAGGGGGCTGATTGGAATTCACTGGTGGCACAAGAGGGCATTGCTGGATGGTTTGGAGGTTGAAGTGTCCTCCAAAGGGGGGCTATGAAAATGGGGAAGGGTCTGGAGGGTTCATAAGAGGAGCGGCTGAGGTGACTTGGCTTGTTCAGCCTGAAGGAGACCAAGGGGAGACTCATCAGGGTCTGCAGCTTCTTCCTGAGGGACAGCTCTGATCTCTGCTCTCTGTGACCAGCAGCAGGACCTGAGACAACAGCTGGAGCTGTACCAAGGAGGGTTAGGTTGGATATCAGGGAAAGGCTCTTCCCCCAGAGGTGCTGGCACTGCCCAGGCTCCCCAGGGAATGGGCACGGCCCCGAGGCTGCCAGAGCTGCAGGAGGGTTTGGATACTGCTCTCAAGGACAGGTGGGATTGTTGGGGTGTCTGTGCAGGGCCAGGAGTGGGACTGGATGGTCCTTGTGGGTCTCTCCCAGCTCAGCAAATTCGATGATTCTGATTAAGTCTCTCATGTCCTGGGTGAATGGGCAGGGTGGGCACCCCCAAATGCCACGGTACCCAGGGAGGCCACCACCAACCTGCCCCGCTTCTCCCACTCCCCAGGACCCCACCAACGGCTACTACAGCGTGAACACCTTCAAGGAGCACCACTCCACCCCCACCATCTCGCTCTCGGGCTGCCCGGCCGACCTGCGCCCGGCCGGCAAGCAGCGGGTGCCCACGGGCATGTCCTTCACCAACATCTACAGCACCCTGAGCGGGCAGAGCCGCCTCTACGACTACAGCCAGCGCTTCGTGCTGGGCATGGGCAGCAGCTCCATCGAGCTGTGCGAGCGCGAGTTCCAGCGCGGCTCCATGAGCGACAGCAGCTCCTTCCTCGACACCCAGTGCGACAGCAGCATCAGCAGCAGCGGCAAGCAGGACGGCTACGTGCAGTTCGACAAGGCCAGCAAGGCCTCCGCATCCTCCTCCCACCATTCCCAGTCGTCTTCCCAAAACTCGGACCCCAGCCGGCCCCTGCAGAGGCGGATGCAGACGCACGTTTGAGCGCCCCGGGCCGCTCGGACCCTCCGCGTGGGCGCCGTGGCTGCGCGCTCGGACAGTGGCGCCCGCCGGCAGCGGCGTGGCCAGAGGCCGGCTCCAGCCCCCGGAGCGGGGCTGCGGGCAGGGGCCGGCCGAGCACCCCCTCCCCGGCACACGCTAAGCACAACCCCGCCGAGGACGCGCCGAGCCCCGCGGAGCCGTCCCCGCCGCGCAGCCCCGCCGCTCGCCTCCGCTTCCCGCTGCCCTCCCCCGCCGCCTCCCCTCCCTTCGTGCTGTTCGGTGTCCGTACTTATAGAGTCCGTTTCGGGGGGTCCCGCCGTGGGGACAGGAGGTGGGCACAGCGGTGGGACAGGGACTCCCCGGGAAGGGCCTCTCCACGCTGTATCGCGGCACCGCGGTCAATACAAGAGGTGTTTCTCGTGGCACGCCTGGGCTGGTGGCCGCCCCGCGGGGACATCGGCTTCCCTGCCACAGAGCTGGCCTGGAGTCCGGGTGTGCCATGGGGCAGGCCCCATGGGGGCAGAAATGGCCGGTGGTGGAGGGAAACTGAGGCACGGGGCAGCTGGGACCCCAGCGTGGGAGCCAGGAGATGGGGCGTCACAACAGGTAAGGGGATGCGGGGACACAGTGGCATGGGGACAGGCCACCCTCCCTGCACCTCACAGCCCCAAAACTCCCTCACACCCCCCATCGTGCCCCAGGAGCACCCAGCCCATCCCAGCCTCACCAGGACTTTATTGGGTGCCAGCATGAGCCCCAACACCCCCATCCATGGGTCCCCCCGACACCTGCAGCCCCACGGGGGCAGAGGGGACCCTACACCAACAGGGAGAAGGCACCAGTCAACCCCTCCATGGTGAGGGGACATCCCAAATGCCCACCCCTGCAGCCAAGCACACACCCGCCCACCCAAGGCCCCCCCGTCCCTGACACCAGTGGCATGCAGGCCCTGGGTGAAAGCTCCACCATAAATAAGCATTTAAATTAATTAAATTAATCTGCACCACCAAAGGGCCCTGGCAGATCCCGAAAGCCAAGCACCCCAGGGTGCCCCCACCCAGGGGGGCTGTGGGGACGAGTCCCTACACCAGCGCTAAGGCACAGGACAGGGCCGCCAAGTAAAAAAGGAAATTAAAAAAAAAGGGAGGGAATTAAATATTTGGGGGGAGGTCCAGGGCAGGGAGGAGGCAACATTAGCCTCTAAAGGCTCCCATTCCCTGGGGGGGGAGGGGAGGGGCCAGGACCCCAAAATCAGCCCCTCAGCAGGGCCCTCGTCAGTGTATGAGGGAATTAAGGGAAAGAGAATGTCCAGGGCAAGGGCTCCTGCCCTGACTCACCCCCTCAGGCCTGCTGGGAGGGAGGACCCCCGTACCCCAAAAACCCCCTGCAAGTCCTCGGTAGCTTCAGTGCGTCAGTAGAAAAGGCGCTGGGCACGGCCCCGCCGGGCTCCCCGCACCCCCGGGAGCAGCCCCACCCTGGGCACCCGCGGTCCAGCGCGGCCCCCAGCCCCGGCCCCGCTCCGGGAGTCCCAGGCCGTGGTGGCAACGATGCTGTGCCCTGGGTCGCTCCGGCCGTGCCAGCGCAGCGTCCCTGACCGCGCGGCACGGTGTCCCCTCGCTGAGGGGGACGGTCCCCGCGCAGCCCCAGCGCCCTCAGAAGTAGGTGAGGTTCCTGACGAGCCCCAGCTCCAGCATCCGCTTGATGGCCACGGCCTCGTGGGACACGTTGTGCTCCGATGCCTGCGGGACGGGGAGCAGGGGGTGACACCAGTCTGGGCCACGCGCTTTCCTTCCATCCCTCACACCTTCCCGCCCTCCACCTTGCCCACCCCACCAGCAGGGACTTCAGCCCCCCAAAAGCAGGGACAGAACCCTCCCCACCCCATCCCCCTGTCCACGAGCTCTTCTCACACATAAACTGGGGATGGATCCAACTCCCCGTGCCTCCAAAGACATTTGGCTACCAAGAGAAGTCGGATGATGACCATCCAAAGGTGAACTTCAACCTTCATCATGGGAGGGAGTGAGAGGGAAGAGCCTCCCGTGCCATTCAGCATCCTGGCACTGCTCTGTGGGCTGCCATCCCACCTCCTGGGGGAAAAATGGGGGGAACAGGGACAAAACTGTGGGGCACACACTTACGGCCATGGACTTGAGCGTGATCTGTTCGTAGTAGTGGATGGTTTGCTTCTTGTTGGCCGAATCGGGGTAGCCAAAGCCCGCGATGTGCACCAGGTCACAGAAGTGCAGTGCCAAGGTGATGGCCAGCAGCCCTGTGGTGGGCTTCTGGGGACACAGAGCCACAGCCTTCAGGGACAGCTGACCCCCGTCGGGGTGTGCAGGGTGACTGGCCATCCCCACCCCTTACCTGTTTGACCTTCCGTGGTTGCTTCATGGGGAGGTTGAGCAGTTTAGCAGCAGTTACTTCCATGTAGTAGGGATTGAGGACGCGCACTTGCTCCGGGTTGGCGTCCCAGATCAGTGGGGGCTGTTTCCAAAACCCTTTCCGAACCTGCAAGAGGCCAGATGTCCCCAGGCGTGGGGTGGCATGACAGCCGGAGTCTGGAGCAGCCAGGGAGGGGTTGGACCCGCTTCCCCACCACACTCACCCTCTTCTTGTCGTTAAGGATGGCCTCCATCCACTGGAAGTCCATGGGCTTGAAGGGCACGAGCACCAGCAGCGTGTCGGGGTTGTTCTCGGCCCGGGGGTCGAAGTGGGCTGACTCGGGGTAGAAGAGGCGCATGGTGGTCTTGGAGCCCACGTCCTGCTCGTAGCCATGGACCGGGGCGTTGTTCAGCCTTTGGGACATGGCAGGCGTCAGCCCCAGCTGCGGGTGGCGCTGGGGGAGCAGAGGGCCGGGCTCGGGGCTGTACCTGATCACCACATCGTAGGTGTCGATGGTGTCCCCCATGGAGCTGTTGCGGAGCCGGTGGCCGTTGCCCACCACGGCACACCTCCGGCACTTCAGGCTGACGGAGAAAACCCTGTCTCAACCAGGCCTGTTCCAAAGCCGGGCTGACTGCAACCACCACAGGGGTTCAACCTGGTGTTGTCCAGTCTCCAAACCTTCCCACGCTCCATCCACCACCCCTGGGTTGCAGAGGTTCATTTTGCCAAATCCTGGGCCCTCAACAGACAAATTTCAACCACCCCCATGAGAGCAATAATGAAGAAAAAGAGAGAAAAGCCCCTAAACCCACCCCAGTGTTACCTCTGGATGCTCTCGGGCAGGGAGTAGTGGGTGATGGACAACAGGCGCAGGAGGATGTCTTCTGCAAAGCAAGGACAAGGACAGGGTGAGGAAGTTGAGGAAGGTGAGGGAGACAGCTCCTGCCTGGCACAACACTCTGAGTGCTGCCCCATCCCTGCCGAATTTGCTCCTACTGTTAATCCCAATTTCAAGCAGATAATCTGTTTCTGGGGCTTAGTAAAACCTGGCCCACCCTAAACTCTTTTAAGAGGCACAATGTGTGAGAAGATACTCGCTGCAGAGTCTAAAAACCAAGAAAATAGCTTGGGAATAGTCCCCAACAAAATCAACCTGCAGATGTCTTTAGGAAAAGGGAAGTTGAAGCCCCAGGAGCAGCAGCAGGACGGACAGACAGACCCCACAGACCATTGTCAGGCTTACCACTTCCCTTGGTGCCATAGGGCAGCTCATAGAGCGACGGCGTCTTCACCCAAAAATAATCCTTCAGCTGCAAGAACAGTGGGTGGTCCCTCGTGTAGCTGCCAAGGAGCAAAGGGTCAGTGAGACTGGGATCAGGGATGGCACAGGGAGGGGGGTCCTGGCTCTGCATCCCCCCCACTCCCTGCTCCCAGCCCTGAAACTCACTTCCCAATGAGCTGCGCCGCTTTCTTTTCCACCTCCCCAAGGGGACACGTTGTCTTGTTGTTTTCTTGCACAGGGAAATAAAAGCTGTAAAGGAAGAGGTTAATTAAATCAAATGATGCCCGTTCCTCTGCAGCCCCCTCCTGGCAAGAGGGGCTCTGGCACCCCCAGGCACCCCCACTGTGGGATTCAAGTTGTGAGAGAGAGATTTCCAGCCAGATTTAAGGCTGGCACTTCCTGGGCATTTATCTGCTGGGCTTGCAGCCTTGCATCAGAAGAGGTCTCTCTTGCTCTGCTCATGAACCTCACACTCCACTCTCCCCATCTCCATCAGCATCGCTGGCACTGGGAAGAGAGCAGAGCTTCCCATCCTCCCGGGCTCAGAAAAGCACCAGCATTTGCAAAAAACCCCGCAGAGCCCAACCACCACCACACACCGAGGGGGAACCTCGCTTGTGTCCCCCATTCTCCAGCAGCCGAGGATGCTGCCACCTCCCCAGTCCCCTTGGATCCAGGGACTCTGCCATGCTCTGGCATCCCTGTGAGGGATGGGCAGGAAGCAGCTGCCTCCCAGGAGTGAAGGAAAGGGCAGGAGGTCCATTAAACTTGAGTAAGAAGCACTCACAGCTGTATGTACCTGTCTTCCCGGTAGATCGAGTACCAAACCATCACCAGAAACAGCGCCAGCACCCCGAGTATCTTCCCTCCTGCAAGCCCAGAGGGGAGGGGGAGAGATAAACCAGTGTCAGCCATGGGGTTTAGATGATTGCTCGTGGGGTCCCACAGCATCCTGAGCTAGATCCAGGATGGCAGAGCCTTCTCCTCAGGGAGCAGGTTTGGCTGGCACCACGACCCGGAGAGGAGCAGCTCTAACATGAGTCAGGTGGTTTTGTCTCAGGTTTAAAGCCCCTGTGACGTTTCTCTTTCCTCTTGACTGCTTTTTATCAAAGCCTAGGCAAACATCCCTTTTTCCGTGTGTCTCCATCCCATTTCTGTGCAACAAAGTCCAAGGAGTTCCAGGTGTCCAAGCCCAGAGATCAAGGTCCCCAAACCCAAACTGGGACCTCCTCCTGTGACACCCCACCACTCCATTACCCAACTGGAACCACAGCAAAGCAGCATCCAACCCCCAGATTTCCAAATAGAAATCCCCCAGGCTCCCCATCCCTGCTTGGACAGAGGCAGACGGGATCCCTGTGGGACTCACGGGACTTGTTGATCATTTTTATCAGCAGGAAAGGGATCAGGCCGGGGCCAGAGCTCTCATTGTGGCTGGTCACCTGCAGCAGGAAAACATGGAAAAACCATCGGAGCTGATCCTAAAACCCCATCCAAGAGGCATCACCCCCCGCTTGCCCATCTGCATCTGCAGACAAGCAGATGCAAGTGTTCCCCAAAGGATTTATTTCTTTAAATTCACATTTCTTTGTTGCCAAAAGGTTGGTTTAGAGAGCTTATCAAAGCCAAACAAGCAGCACTTCCCAAGGAGCTTCAGCCCTGCAGATTAAAGGCCAAAGGAAAAAAAAATAATTAGAGAGGAAAAACAAGCTCCCAATGGGGTTTCATCCACCAAATACCATGGAGGAGACTTTAAACTCAGCTTAAGGATCCACCTGGCACCAGCAGATACAAAGTTAATGTGCCACCACAAAGCCAGTCAGAAAGGACAGGAGCAGCCGAGCAGGACCAAACCAAAGAGCATCACATACTTTGGGAACCTCCAACGCCTTGGATTCACCCATCCTGGCCTGGGGAAAGGAGGTGCTGGAGCTTAGTGCCCACACAAACACTGCCCAGGGAAGTGGGGACTCTCTTGTGCTCCTCTGAAACCTCTCACTCCTGGAATAAGGAGCAAAGAGCCGTGGTTGGATCCATCCCAAGATCAGCTCCTCCCATCCCACCAGGACACAGCAAGGACAGAAAATGAACTCACCGGGTGGGAGAAGCTTTAGGGTCCAGGGGAGGCTTTGCTCCCCGGGTGAATCCTGCTCTAAGCCAGGCTCAGAGCTGGGCTTGGCTTTGCCCCTGATAACTGAGCTCCTCCAGGCTCTGACCAGACACGTCTGGGTGTGCTGAATGCCAGCCAAGGGGAAAGGTGTACGTGGGGCAGGGCGATGCAAAACTCTCAAGCAGAGCCTGCCCATCAGAGCCTCCAGGGTTTACTCACCTGCCAAGGAAGGACACCCACCTCACCCCCTCCCTGCCCAAGGAAGGGCCACTCACAAACCTGGCACCTGCCAAACACCCGGCAGGCCACGGCCTCAGCCAGTCAAACACCAGATCTGGGGGCAAAAATGCACCAGGAATGAAGAGAAACGGGGCCAGAGAAGGTTCCACAAGAGCCAGGCTCTTCCCTTCCCTGCCACGGACTTCTGAAGTTAAAAGGGCAGGAGAAAAATTAATTAAAAAGGGCAGGAAGGGCAATTAAAAGGCAATTGAGGACAATTAAACCACACTAAAAGCAACGGGACAGGACACTAGAAAAAGAAAATTGTGTCCATTTGGCAGCAGAGGGACGGGGCAGGTGAGGAGGTCCCCTAGGAAAACACCTCCCTCTGAACCACTTCTCCTTCATAAAACATGGATAATTGTGCCCCATCATTTCCTGGGGGTTCCAGAAAGGGGAAGTAACCCCCCATCCCAACTGGCTCTCATCCTGCATCTGAATTTCCAGCTCAACAAGCCCCTCCTGCTTGGGAAGATGAAACTACAGCTGGGTCCTCACAGGTGGGAGCAATACAGGGAGAAGGCACAGGGAGAGTCTCACCCCTTTACATATTACAATTGCTTGGAAAAAGTAAAATTAGGGGAAAGTAAAAAGCAGCTTGTGCTTCCTGGGGAGTTTTGTTTTTAGTAAAACTGGCCACAAAAGCCCTAAGGGGAAATCCACTGCCTCAGCTGGAGGCTGGGTTTGCTCCTGGGGGGCCTGTTTGCCCAGGGCTGGGAAATTGCTGGGCACCAGGACCTGGTTTTAGCACCAGGTTCACCCCCCACCTTCATCCTTGGGTGCCAAAACACCCAACCAAGCACACTTCACCCCTTCCAGCGGTGAAAGCACTGGGAAAATCTGCTCTGCCCACAATGTTTGCCTTCACATACCAGCTTTTTTTACATTTTTTTTGACAGCTTTATGATCTTTTCCCAGGCCTGTATGCACAAGCTGGGCCTGATGCAAAACTTTTCTAAGGCAAACATGGGTTTATAATCCCTGAGGAGAAGAAGCATTGTTTAGTGAAGCGATCAGGGAATGCGGTGCAAAGCAGAGCACACCCAGCTGCCCCCGCACCCCTGGTGCCTCTGGAAGGAGTTCAAGCTCCCCACAGCCCTCCCAGATCCACAGCCCACACCAGAGCAGCTGCTGAAAGCACTGCTGAACACCCCGAGCCAGCTCCTGTGTCCTCCTTGTGGGGTGGCTGGAGGCAGCAATGCCAAAGGGTCCTGCTGGTCCC